CTTTTTTCCTTCTTGTACCAATTAATTTTTCTTGCATTTCTTATAAAATTTCATAGTAAACTTAGACAAAAACATGCATAAACTATGGATAATTTCTATCCCCCAAATGAGGCAGTTTGTCATACAGGTTGTTGTGAAGATCAATATTAGTTATATAAATGCTTTAAACAGTACTCAGCATACAGTAGGGACCAGCTATGATAAGGATTAACAAGCCATACTTACAGATTTAATGAAATACAAAGCTGTCTGATTAACATAAAAGGCAGTATTTTAGTCTGAGCTAGAATAAAAAGGAAAAGAAGAGGAGGAGGAGGCAGAAGAAAGAAACATTTAGCATTTGTAAATAACCTCAGAATTCTAACAATTCAGCGAGTATTAATCTAAGTGACTGTTCAGGTACTTAATGATTCTATGCATGAATTTCTTCACTGACAAAAACTAAAGATACTGGCTCTGCTCAAATGAAATACTGGAGTCAAAAAAGTACTTAGTGAAGCACCAAAAGACTATAAAATCTCATTCTTAGTCTTCTTGATTTCCTAAGACAATTACAAAGGTCAGATGAAATTATTAAACATGAAAACACATATAATACTTTAACAACTAATCTGAAAATAATTAAATATGAGAATGAAAGTCATCTTCCAAAGTAAAAGCAGAATGATTCTCAGAAATCTGTGTTGCTTTCAGTGTTTTTTTTATTTATGAAAAACACCAGAAAGGAATACTAACAGGTTTTAAAAAAAAAAGAATAAGAAATACTAACAGGTTTCATTATGCCACTTCATATACCATGATATCAGAGGGGAAAAATGTAAAGAATATCAATATAAATTGCAGTTCTATGTACTGAGGGAACACTCATGTGTTTGACAGAACAAATTAAGACAATCAAACACTATCAAGGAAACAAGAGAGTCTTATCTTCTGAGAAGGAAAAAAACCCCCTAGCAATAAATGACAACACCAATGTGTTTGAAAAATGGCCAACATGAAAGTGAAAGGGGCTATAAAGTCCGAGATCAGTGGAGAAAATAGAACTTCAGTTAAGTAAACATTTAAAAACTATCTGATCACAAGAAAGATTTAAGATCCATCTTTTTTCACCCTGAAATAATCATGACAGTTTACTTAATCATGACATACATCATTCAGAATATGAGCCTACATGTCCTAACATACAACCTCTGGGTATTAGACAAATCTTTCACTCTGTGAATAGTGAAATAGTGGGAAGTGGGAATGGCACTGTATTGGTGGTGACAGAGGTACTGTCCTGGTCTTGTCCATCTCAGACAATGGCACCATCACTCGTTCCATTGCTTAGACCTCAAACTCAGAAGGCATCCTGGACTCTAATCTATTATCAAGACTTTTTTGGCTCTTCCTTCCAGAATTTACCCCTTATCTCACCATTTCTCATCATTTCTGTCTAGTCCAAATCACCAAAATCTTTTACCTGGATGAAAACAATAGCTTCAAAATTGGTCTTAATTCCACTCATGACCACATCCTAACTGTCCATTCTCCACAAAGAAGCCATAATAATGTTTTTAAAATGCAAATGGGACTTTTATTGGAGATTAAAAACCTTGCAACTGCTTCTCACTGAAACTAGAACAAAATTCCTACTCCTCCCAAAAGCCTACACTATCCAAACTCTACCAAATTCTCTAACTGTAACTTGCAGTATATTACCACCTTTACTCACTGAACTGCAGCTCCATCAGCCTATCTCTCTGAAATACCAAGCTGCTGCTTGGATATCCCACCCTTCACCCCTGGATTTTCATACGGCTATTATGTTTTGTTTTGATATTATTCATATCTCCATATAAATAGCTCCCCAGAGGATTTTCCCTATCATCTTATAGATCTGTATAATTCCTACTAGTCTATTTCCCTGTATATTCCTACTATTCTATTTCCCATTACTTTGTTTCACAGCAATATTACTATCTGAAATATTATTGGTTTAACTTGTTTAACAGTCTATCTCCCCTACTAGCATTTATATCCTTCATGAGGCTAGAGCTCATATCTTTCTTGTTCACAGCTATTCTCAGGGCTTAGAATAGGGCCTGGCACATGGTAGGTACTCTAACATTTTCAACATGCATCTATTCCAAATACATATCAATGTTTGCATGAATGAATGATCTTCCTTAACCCCTAAATAACACTACGGGAGTAAGTTTTATTACTGATATTTACATATGAGGAAACAGTAAGATGGAGAGCATTAGTTTTGTAATTGTAAGTAAATTAAAAGAACAAGATTTAAAACTAGATCTGCCTTTGTCTGAAGCCCAAGACCTTACCCACTGTTGGAGAAATTTCTATCCAGGGAACGTTTCCCCTGATGCCTAGTTTGGTTCTATTAAGCAAACAGACCTTATGAAAAATGGCAAAATAACAAGTTTAGGCAGGAAATGTAAAACACATAGCTTAAATTTACACAAGACAAAAAGAAACATCCTTGCTCCAAGGTTGCCATGATTAGCCTTGCCATTCTCCTGCCAATCAGCCATAATTATGATTAAACCAGGATCTGGCACCTAACACAAAGGCAAGCCATAAACTTTTAAGATAGCCTAGAACTGGAGCTCTGCCCAAAAGTGGCAATGTTGGATAGAGTATGCATCATTTTATCTCTTCTCTGCCTAATCGGCTCATCCTGTAACCTTGGAATGGAGAGCTATGTAGAATATATAAATAAACTTGCCCTAAGCTGAGCCAATCAGCTTCCTTCTTATAAGAGTATGGAATTGGTTTGGGACAATAGTGATCTAGGCTGGAATGTCATGTAGACTGAAAGGGCTGAGCCTGACATTCTGATAGTCATAATACACTACTAATCAATGAGGCAACAAAGAACCTAGGCCATAGAGAAAAAGAATGAAATGGATATGTAAAGAAAGACAGAGATAAATGGTCATACTGAGTTTGTATGAACAAGATAGAGGAGAACAGTGGGAGTGGGGAAAGAGAGAAGCTACTTAATGCCTAGCACCTCAAAGTCCTAGCTCTATTTATTTATTTATTTATTTTTTAAGATTTTATTTATTCATTTGACAGAGAGAGAGCACAAGTAGGCAGAGCAACAGACAGAGGCGGAGGGAGAAGCAGGCTCTCCACTGAGCAGAGAGCCCGATGTGGGGCTCGATCCCAGGACCCGGGGATCACAACCCAAGCCGAAAGCAGATGCCCAACCAACTGAGCCACCCAGGCGCCCCTAGCTCTATTTATTCTTAAAATGAATTCTAAGGAACGCCACTGAGTCATTAAAATCAAGCCCCCCTCCCCAGTATATATATATACAATGGAATATTACACAGCCATAAAAAAATAGGAAATCTTGCCATTTGCAATGACGTGGATGAACTAGAGGGTATTATGCTGAGTGAAATAAGTCAGTCAGGGAAAGACAATTATCATATCTCACTGATATGTGGAATTTAAGAAACAAGGCAGAGGATCATAGGGGAAGAGAGGGAAAAAAATGAAACAAGACAAAACCAGAGAGGGAGACAAACTGTAAGACACTCTTCATCATAGGAAACAAACTGAGGGTTGCTGGAGGGGAGAGAGGTGGAAGGCTGGGGTAACTGGGTGATGGACATTGCAGAGGGTAAGTGTTGTAATGAGCACTAGGTATTATATAGGACTGATAAATCACAGATTTGTACCCCTGAACAAATAATATATTATATGTCAATTTAAAAAATAATAAAATAAAGTCCCCAAGTTATCCTAAATTAATCAAGTTCCCAGTATTGAATGATAAGAACAGGAATAAACTGAGTCAAAACATCATTTGCTTCCAAGCTGATGCCGTTAGCATTTATTCATTCTCTCATTCAACAAATGTTAACTAGAGGCTCACTTTCTTCAGAAACTTCTAGGTTTCTCAAGGTATCAGGGAACAAACAAACAGTACAAATAGAAAAATTAAATACATAAAGCTAGGAAATGATAAATGTTATGAAGAAAAATAAAGCAGAGTAAGGATATAGTGATAGAAAAGTTGCTATTTTATTTAGAGTGCCCAGGGAAGGCTTCACGGAAGAGGTGACCCGAAGGGAGGAGCAAACTTTGTGAAGATCTAGGGGAAAAGTGTTCCAGATAGATGGAAGAGCAAATGCAAAGCAAACTTCTTCCCTAACAAGCTGCATGTTTGGGATCCTCAGGTTAAAATGAGAATCATGAAATGAGAATCAGGTGGGCTTTAGTCATAGCCACTATGCCACTGGACACTAATACATCTTATAAATATCGTCTATCAAGAAGAGTATTTTAAAATATTTTTTAAAAAACCACTTTGATGGGCTTCTGATTTTGCAGACATATACTGGGTATGGTTTAAACCACATGAGTTCATAGCGAAACGGTTCAAATGCTTATTTAACAATGAAGGCATTTGTTTCTATCACTAAGAGAAATGGGGTCATGAATGGTCTTCTGACAGATTTGATAACATTTGTGAGTGACATAAAAACAGGGTTATAGTCTATAATTAAGGTTTCATTTTTAGATCAAGCTGGAAAAATTAGAGAGTTGTATACTCAGTACCCAAAGGAAACACTTTCACTGAGTTGATTTAGGAATACATTATTAGTATCTGAGGTTAAGCTACAAGAAACAACTCTATGAAATTTATCAGTGTATTTGCCACAGATATGTTTGCTGAAGATATTTTTCATAATATCTGTCATCTGAGAAGTTTCATGTAGAGTAAAGCTAGAGAAACTTCTGGTTCCTAAGAGACTGAAATGGTTCTTCCTCCCAGATCCTCCCAGATAATGAAAGCGTAACACACTTTCCCTTTCATCTCTGTAATCAAAAAATGTAAAGTCAAATTTATGGTTCAATTAAATCACATTCCCCTAGATTTCTGTTGTTTGTCTGATAAAGGCAGATGGTCTTAATGTCCGTCTCTAATACATCCAATTTCTACACATATGAATAACACACCGAAAAATATTTAATCTTCTCACCTGATTGGCTTGGCTCTGCAAGTAAACTCTTCTGGCATTCAGATCTTCAAAGGCAGAAGGTCTTGAGCTTCTGTACGGCTCACTGGTAACAACTGTCTCTTGCTGGAGATGATCTTTCACTAGAGAACTGGAACTGTCCTCTTCAGTTGCCTAATGGGAATAATCCCCAAAATTCATTAGTTGCCAGAAACAAAAAAAAGTAAGATACTTTCACTCTAGCAAGTATTTAGCAAATCATTATGTACCACTACCATCACTATAAATGGCAATTCCCCAAACACAAACAATCATGATTAGGGAGCCAGGTCAAAATAAAATAACAATAACATTAATAATAAATCAACTTTATGGGCTTCCTTATAGCAAATGACTTAGGAAGAATTAGAAGCCTAACCATGCCATGTTAGAGAGATAATCTAATTAAAATGAAGTTTTAAATTTTAACGAGAAGCAACATACATAGAAAATGAAGAAATTATTACAGAGATACACAAATCAATTTAAGTGTTATCTTGCAAGTTAAAAAAGTATGTACCAAGGACTGTGCTGTGTTATATGATACAGGGGATCAAAAGAAAACAGCAGTCCATGACCTTACTGAATGAATAAAGAATTAATTAGCCTGACTATGCTGATTCAGCTCATGCACATGAGACTTAGGTAAGGGACATGCTCAATGACAGGCCCTAATGACATGTTTTTGAAATTTCATAAACAATAATTTGTTTAAAGGAATGAGATAATTATTTGCCATTACTTTTCCTGTTACTGTATAATTATTAGAAGAGATTGTGAAAGCCAAATAAAAATGACAGAAATACTATCACTGGCTTAACCTAAAATAATTTGGAGTAATCACTACAGGGCTAATAATCTTAAAGGTGTAGTAAACCTTTATGAGCTTTTTAAAAAAAAAAACAATTAAAAATTTGGTGCTCTAAAATTAAAGCATAAGATTCATAAAATAGCTAACATATTTTAGTTTATAAATGCACATTCTAGTCCTTGCTCTGGAACAAAGTAGCCTTGTGACATTTAATTTCTGTGGAATTGGTTTTTTCAATTACCAAATACTTTTATAATTCCTATGCTATTTTACCACATGGATTTTCTCAAGGATTTAGTGAGATGATAATATATGTGAAAATGCCATGAAAACTAAAAGCAATTAAACTTTTAAAAATATATTTGAGAATGCACTATCACTTAAAACTAAATGTCAAACCCAGTTAATTGTTCTTTTTAGCTGATTTTCATTACAGTTGTCCCAATGAGTTATGATAGTTAATGCTAAATTACTAGAAGGAAGTTGGTTAAATACTAGTAACCAGCAAACATTCTTTCAAAATGCATGCTGAAAATTGGAAGGAGTAAAAAATTTCAAGAAATATATTAACATATTCGAGACAGTTTTGAAAATAAATGATTCAAGTAACTGTAAAAATCATAAGCAAGCTGAATAGAAAAAAACATGGGGGCCTGGGGCGGGGGAGGTTTAGAGAAAGGGCCTAAGTTAGAAAATTGTCTCATCCAACTAAGGTATAGAATTTAAGCAATTCAAGCAATTAACTTCTCTAAATTATGGTTTTATTATAAATTGGGTATATTTGTGCTAACAACTTTGGGGTTACTTGGGATACTCAAGAGATTAAAATCTGTAAACAGGCATGAATTACTATAGTAGTAGTAGTAGTAGTAATATCAGTAGTAATTACAAAGTAATTATACTTATAATGGTGACAACTATTTGGATCAGGTTGATTTTACTGAATTCCAATCTAATTGAGGAGTCATTTAAGATTTGTAAAATAAAGCCTACTGAAAAGTCCATATCTGAACAAACATAAACTTGTTATATAACACAAGTATTTTACTCTACTGACTTGGGTTAATTCTACTTATATTCTGTACATTAAGCAAAAACACATTTCATTTTGATTAAGAATACATTTATTTTTTAAAGGGAACTATCAAGAGTGTTATTTCATTATTAAATAAAAATGTGTTTATTGTTTGAGTAACAAATAATTTAGTTCTACTTAAAAATGTTTGCCAAAACAGCTAGAATTTACCTAATAACTACAGTTCACATCACACAGTTAATTTTTAACTACACACCTAAATGGGTCTCAGATAATAAAATAAGGAAAACATCTTTCAGGTGTCTCATATGGTAAAAACAAACAACTCCCTCCCTCAATGTATTGTACAGACTACAATCTACAATAAGGTCCCTTATCCTTGAACTGTGAGAAACAAACTAACATTTTTACAGAATCCCAAACTGGGAGAGTATTTTCCTACTACTTAATTATATCTCTTTCAGCAAGTTATAAATTTAGATGTATATTGAAAAAGTTTTAAAAAAAGCAGTAATAAGTAAAATGGCCATTCTTAGTCATTGCTAATTCTACATATACAAGTAAAATGTGGAACAACCATTTGTGAAAAATTATTTCAGTAGAATGTATCAAAAGTTTTTAAAACATTTTGACAAAGTCTTGAATCTTGCAAAGAAAAAAAGAGTACTAAATGGAAGAAGCTTTAGGCAAAATTATTTTTCTCAGAATTACTTTTTTTTGATATAGTGTTCCATGATTCGTTGTTTGCGTTTAACACCCAGTGCTCCATTCAGTACGTGCCCTCTTTAATACCCATCACCAGGCTAACCCATCACCCCACCACTCTCCCCTCTAGAACCCTCAGTTTGTTTCTCAGAGTCCATAGTCTCTTCATGATTCATCTCCCCCTCCAATTCCCCCCCTTCATTTTTCCCTTCCTCCTTTTTTTTTTTTTTTAACATATAATGTATTATTTGTTTCAGAGGTACAGGTATGTGATTCAACAGAATTACTTTTAATAGTAAAATTTAAGAAATAACCCTAATGTCCCAAAATATGGGGATGGTTACATAAATTATGGTATCTCCATTTAATGGAATATTGAGTGGTCATTTGAAATTAGGCTTATGACTAATATCCACTATATGGGGAAACATTTAGTGTTAAAAAGTCAGTATACAAAATTTTATTTACAGTATTATCATAACCATAAAAAAATAAAAGATTGAAATGATATAAAAAGAATGTTAACACCTATCCTTGATGGTTTGATTATGAGTAATTTTCCAATTTTTCTAGAGCTTTACTTTTATGTAGGCCACAATTTCTCTTAAAATCTAGGTATATACTTTTTCCCTTGTTTGTGATACCGAATTGTAATATTTTGAAATATAAATATATTCTATTAAAATATTCAAGTAAATCAACTAGGGAATTAGTCATATGCTTTTTGGCTTAAATACATTTCCCCCCCACTCTGTATGTGAAATGATGAACTAAGACATTCTTCAACTCTTGCCCCAAACCCTCCTAGATTCATGCAAGATATCTTTCTTTCGATTAAAAAAAATTATTTTCTAAACAAGTTCACCTTCTGCGTACCTTTCAAATCGATTTTCTCTCATTATCTTTTTTGCCTATCTTATTTCAGTAGGTTTTAACTGATCTCCTTGTTTCCAGACTTGGGGAAGGCTATTCATGCAAATCTATTTGTTTTTCTGCTCAACCCTTCTAAGATTTCCAATTACCAAAGCTCTCTTGGGGAATCCTACACATACTGGAGAGTGGAAGGGAAGAAAATCAGTATTGTCTGAGGAACACCTTCATAAGAAATACAATTTACACAAATCCATAGAAATGGGCCCTCTCCCCCCAGTTATTTTTTTTATTTTTATTTTTTGGCCTATTTCAAACAATGTTGCTAAGAACATTCTTTTACAGACCTTATGGTATATATGTACAAGAGGGTTTTCTGGTAAATATCCAGGAATAGAAATGGTGGATTACAAGATATACCTACAGGATATACCTACGTTTCCAAGGTAGTGCTAACAATTCACATATCTATATTCTCACCAAGCCCAGGCATTATCACAACTTACACTTTTATGTATCTATCTGCTGTTTAATTTCTACAATGGATCAGTTCTACTAAAAGTTACATAATATTTTCTTTCTGCAACAAGAAACTCTGAGAATGAACAAAAGAACTAAGAAATGAATGCACAAGTTTGTGCAATTTTACCATGGCTCCTAATATTATTTCATCCTCAAATCTTTTGGTTTCAGAAATACTGATGTACTTGTTTCTTACCATTTGACTTTTCACACTTCTGATTCTTCGTATATGCCATTTCCTCTGCCCACAATGACTGTCTTCAATTCTTTCACAAGAAAAACTCTTTGAAATGTCACCTATAAACTCTTAAAAGTCTTGGGTGATCCACTCCAACTTAATCATTCCCTCCTCTGAAGTTCCTCAAAAATACTTGTATCTATCACCCTATATTCTAAGTGTTCTTTTATTTATATTTCTGCCAAGAGCCAGTAATGGGAGACTTTGCCTCCATTTTATCCCTAGGGCTTATAATTATGCCTGTCATATAGTATCATATAAATAATCTCTAATATGCGACCATCCACAAATCAGATCACATTATAAGTAATATAGACTCTTGGGAGTAAATGTGGTTTAACAGGATAAAAAAATGTAGAAAAAGAACTCCTTAACAAAAAAATCTTCCCCCACAAAAGAAATAATTTTAATAAATGTAAAAGTTCAAATTACACAGAAAAATTCTGCCCATAATCCCAACCCCATGGAATAACACCTATTATTTGACATAGAGCTTTCCAGACTTCTTAATGCATGTATATTTGTTCATATCCTATGTATAATATCGTTCCATTTATACTATAGACAGTCTATCCATGTGGTGTTTTTCCTTCATAATATATCATGGACCTCTCACATCAATATATAAAGATGTACCTTGTGCTTTGAAATGCTTGCAAAGAAGTTCAGTATTTGTGTGTGTCATCTATTCTATAACTAATACTCTAATTATGGACCTTTAGATTCCTTCCTACTTTCTGTTATATATGTTGCAATGCACATCCTTATACATACGTCTTGGTGCAGTGGCAATATTATTTCCTTAGGATTAATTCCCATAAATAGAATCACTAAAGAATATGCATATATTCCCATTATATTACCAAGCTACCTTCTAGCAAGCTTATGTATCATTTGAAAACCCCTCGATAGTATATTACAGAGGGATCATTTCCTCACATCTCTGTTCATAC